AAACTCTCAAAAACATATACATGCAATAAAATTGTATAAAAGTATTCACATGATATCCATCCATTCTATATCAGTATCAATATCAGTTCAATATCTTAATCACATGTTCAGTAGATCTAGTATATCAAATGTTAAGTATATCAGAGCTCTATTTATTGATCTTTCATTGCATACTCTCAATCCTACGATCCTCTACCCCTTAGTCTATCTAAACAGTTATGCACCATAATCAATTCTTCATCCAAATCCCCTCTAAGGACTATCTTCTACCATATGTCCTTGTGGTTCACATAAAAAATATCATACTATGAAAATGTAACAATAACATAAATGCCTAATTTTATTAAAAAAAATATAGTTATCATAATTACCAGTATATGCTATCAGTTTAGATCCCCTCAAATCATTATATTGACTTTGTTTATAACTAACACTATCTCTATCATTATCTCTGCTTGACTCTTTTCTAGTCCTCCTCATGCTAGCTTCATATATGAAGCCCACATCACACTTGGAAATTAATACTACCTAAAATAACTCTTGTATCTGCAAAGTTAATAACCATATGCCTTCACACCCAATTCAACCCTTGCAAGAATTTATAACACTTTAAGCGTTATGGATCAAATGAGGAGCATACCAAGCCAAGGAAGTAAAATTAGTTTCATATTACATCACTGCCATACATTTCTATTCCATTTTAATGAAAGCTTCTTGCATCTTTCATTATACCCTTCGGGCGTATAAACCACTTCTTAAATAATGTTGTGAATTCATCCCAAGTAATGTTAGTATTAGTTTTCCCCTAGAATTTCTCTCTCTACTATCCATCCAACTATCTCTCAGCCTCTTCTTCAAATAAAAATATTATTAATGGTACTTTCATGCTCTCTAAACACTGCATGATATCAAAAATCTTCTCTATCCTTAGTAACAAATCTTCAACAACCTAGGGTCCTTTAGCTCCTTTAAACACTTAGGGTATCCGCTTATCAAATATCTACTAATGTTTATCTCCCTATCTTCTTTTCTCTTAGCTGGCTTACTCTATGGTTGCTTACTCTATGTATTGCTCATTACCTGTTCTTTAACATCGATCAACTATGTAACACTTTATGATGTTAATGGAGCTACAATGTATAGCTAAATTGGTAAATTTTACTCTAACATATCCATTTAACATTTCGCTTACACACTTTAGTCTCATCTGAATTATTCATGCATATAATTAATTATGTATATAAAATAATGCACCTTAATCTACCAAATCTACTCGACTCATAATTAATTTATATGGCTCTAGTAATAATTTAATTCTTCTAATAACTATGCTTTGATACCAATTTGTCATGCCCAAAAATCTTATTTAGAAGAATTATTCTTTTATCTTTTAAGATAATAACCATAAGAGCTTTCTATTCTTTTTATCATTAAGAATATCAGCAAAATTAATTATATTTATCAAAATATCAATATTTATTTGTATTCATTACTCCCAAAATAATCATATATAATACTAAAAAATTATACAATGAGAATATATCCATCCAATACTATCTATAAAAAAATAATGAAAACAAAAAAGAAACTAAATCTGAGGAATCCTATAATTGATCAGAATCACACTCCTAATCCCTTTACCCTGAACTTAAAACATTTGAACCACATATAATAGGCTAAATTGCCCTGCAAGTCACTAAATCCTATAACTAAAATTCAAAGCATAGTAAAGAAGTAGTATGCATATCATTTGTCAATTCATAACAGTGGCATTCATATGATCATGAATCAATATTGAAATAGTAAAAACTCACATATATTAGCAGTAACATCGATAAAATAGTAAAATAGTACAATATGAAAGTAAGTAAATAATCAATATGGAAACCAGTAGACCACTACAGTGGAGAACCAATAAATAAGTGATCAATCATAATCATAAAAAGACTAATATTAAAGAAATCATATGAATTGGTAGAACTAAAGCCTCAAGAAAATTTTCAAAATTTCATCAATTCAGTAAAACCATATAAAAATATACACATTATATCAATCCATTCTATATCAATATCAATTTAGTATAATAATCATATGTTCAATAGATTTAGTATATCATATGCTCAATATATTAAATAGTCACTAATGGTGAATCAATAAATAGGGAATCGATAACATATAACAGTAATAATAATATGAATTAGTAGAAGTAACAATAACAATATCAGAATTAATCTTATCAATGATAGTAACAATAAAATAATAGTAAATCCATACCATTATTATAAATCGGTATGATATTATTAAAGCCGTATAGTGATCACTCATAGCCAGTAAAGAGTCCTCGCTAAAGCTATGTTATTTTTTTAGTATCAATATTAGTAATCAGTAATCAATAATTATTGGAACCATAAATATAGTCATCACTCTTTATCCATCAACATAGTAATAACTCCATATAATTACTAATCAATGAATCACGTGAGTTAGTAGAGGATAACATCAAACTATAGTATTTAAAGGAAATCTCATCAATCCATCATCTTGAATAAGTTAATCAGTCTCTAGCCAACTTTAGTGAATACCAATCCTTTACTTATTTTTCCCCACAACGGTAACTTCTGACGTCACTGCGCTAGCTTCATAGGTTCAACCCCTCGGTGCTCACAATCACGGTGCCACACTGCTAGCTTCACCGGCTGACCTAGAAGAGACACCCACCTCAAAAATCTCCTGGCCCGTACTTGATTGGGCCCAACTTAAGAGTCACCGCCACTCGAGGGGAATCGAGCACGGATTGGGAGGTTTCCAACAATACTAGCCCACCAACAAAGGTAACCAACGCTGGCTCTTCCATATAATATACTACCATATTATCTCTCTTGGGTTTCAATTTCTTATTATAAGATTGTTCATTTTTATTCTAGCTTAGTGAGTGTAAAAGATTACTTCGACAACTCTTTGTTAATGTTCTACAGCTTCTACCAATCATCTAAGGGTATTTTTAATTATACCGATATGGTATATATTTGATTTGATTTTGGAGACAAAAACTATTGGGTGTAGGTTTTAGATGAGGATAAATAATTTGAATACCTTTTATCACAAAGAGCTATGCGTCCCCTGCGACACTTCAAGCTTGGGTTACGACACAAATTCTGCAGGGAATTGGCCGACATCCTTAACTTCTTTGGACGCATCCAAAAACAAATCCTTTCAAACTCTATGGTGAGTATCAGCACCTTAATTTTCTTCTTGCAACTGCACAAGTTCTCATAGATCCTATCCTTTTTTAAGCACGTCTTCACCATGAAGGCATTTAAAGATAGGTGTACCCACTTTTCTTATATTGCCATGAAGACTAATGGTCTCTCAAATAAGGTCATGGAATGGAAGGTCAAGTTTTTGTTCATGTATTCAGCTATTGGGTGGTCAGTATTGACTGCTGCCATCCCATTCACGAAGGATAAAATGCTAGTATGGAAGATGAATGAGGAGGAGAGAAAGGCCAACACTTTAATGATAGGGAAGTTGCAACGTATATTTGGCACCTTTTATGTTAAGCACTACAATCATCTTCTGTTCTTAAAAATTTTCTATATCTTCTACTCACTTTTATAATGAATATTCTCCTATTCAGTTGATATGTAGAGTTGTTCATATCCTGACGACCCGCAAGTACTAGAATTTCACAATGACGACCCTTTACTGAGGTAGAAAAGGGGGTTGAGGAGGCTATGGAGTTGCCCACCGCAAAGAAGCCTGTGATAGGTATTAAGCAACAATCCAACGCCAATATAATTAAGTTAGTTTTCCTTACTCTACAAAGCCTCTTGCTGAGTCAAATGGGATAGTGAAAATAATGGTGGTGAGTAAGGATCATCCACCTATACTAAGTAGGGGGATCATAATAGATAAGTGGGTCAACAAGCAAAGGGCAATGAGGGTGAGCATGCCCGAGGCCTAGGCAGGCTATTAAAGGCAAGGAGAAGTAGGTTGCCCCACCGTAAAGAGAAGAGGAAGTTAAGCCTCTTAGTTGAGCTCTGTAGTTCTAAAGATATGACCATATGAAATTCCTAACAACCTTAGTTGTGGTTTTGGCAAGTGCCTTCAATTCAATTTATTTGGTAAAGTAGTTCATCATTACTATGATAAACTTTCTTTCTTCACTCAATGGTCGCAATGGATCGAAGAGGTCCATACCCCAAATTTTTTTTTATAGATTTATAGACATGGTGAATGGCAAGGGCTGCTAATAGGTTGGAGCTTCTAAGATAGTTGCTGCTATATGAGGGCAAATTTCTAACATATCAAGGACCTCCTTAAGAATTATTCTATATCCATTTAAAGAGCCAGTCAAAAATATCTGTATCATCATTCAGCTTAATGGGCAAGTATTCTTCCTCCAAAATGATTTCCACGCACTCTGAATGTACCTCCTTAAGCATGACCTCCTCATAATCTCTCACACAAACCTCCTTGTCATTTTTGATATTATATGACTTATTTTAAATCTCATCTTGGTGTCCATTAATTTCCTCAGTAATCACGGGACAAGAAATTCTGTTGCAAATTTTCATTAATAAAAACATATTTTCTTTTATTATTATTTTTTAATTTATAGTAAATTTAAATTATTTGTGAGAAATTAATTCTTCGCCTTAATTAATTTTGTTGGGATAAGGAGGTGACGTTTTTTTTTTTTTTTTTTGATAAATTGACTTGACTTGGTTAGCATTAATTGGGTATGGACTTTTCAATTAATAAGCTGGACTTTTCAATGCTTGGAGTTCCAAACCATATCAAATACCTCTTTTCTTATTCACCACATAAAATTTAGGGGTGTCAATTCGGGTCGAACCCCACCCATTAACCCGAACCTGACCCGTTTAGCTAAATGGGTCATGATTCATAACCCGGACCTGACCCTCACTGTTTGCCGGCTTGATCCGACCCGACTCGCAAACCCGAGGGCGCAATTGTGAGTCGCAAAATGAGGGCAAATGGCGACAGGGTTGGGCGTCGTCGCGGGCGAATGGCTACTGGGTTGACCTATTGAGAGCTTAGGGGCGTAGGGCTTCGTGTCGACGCGTCGTTGGCGCCCAGTGGAGGCGGATCTGGGCATAGGCAGGAGGCGAGATGTGTCGTCGCCGGTGGAGGTTGAGGCGCAATCGCACTCAGGGGCGCAGTCGCCGGTGGAGGGCCTGGAGGCTTGGTCGTTGTCGCCGATGGAGGCTGGGGCCCAATTGCGAGTCGTGAAATGAGGGTCAGCTCACGATGCTAGGTCAAGCCATCAAGTTTGCGAGTTACCCGGTTCGACCCGCGGATTTTTGGGTCAACCTAAACCCGACTTGTTTTTCATATGGGTTAAAAATCTGAATTCGAAGCCGACCCATTTTACAAACGGGTTGATCTGAACCCAGATTTTTCCGAGTTTGTTCCGGGTCGGGTCATGTCAACTTTCGACGCTCCTAATAAAATTAGTCATGGTCGTCTTCTTCTTCAAAGCCTACCCTGGTCCATAAACGCGGTGATAAGTCTTTGGCTGAATACAATTAACCAGTATAGTCTTTTCGGTGGAATAGTCAAGTTCAGAAGTTGTAATTAATGAATTAAATACTGTTTAAAAACCGCATTTGCAAGATGGGCTATGTTGCTGTTCCCAATTCACCCCTTTTTGCAATGCGTTGGTTTCATCTTCTCATGCTTGGGATCTTCCCAGTTGCTTATGCCCTCTCCAATGACTGCCCTTCCTCCATGTGTGGAGATATGGAGATCAAATTCCCTTTTACTCTTCAAAGCAGCTCCAATAGTTGCAGGACAGCAGGAGTGAGTGCGAATCTGTCCTGTTCTTTCACCAACGAGACAATTATCACCCTCCCCTCTTCAGAATCTTACAGAGTAACATCTATTGGCTATAACGATTTTTGGTTTATTGAACTTCTTATATCAACATCTTCGATTAATTGCCCATGGCCACGGAGAAAAGGTATCCGAAAACTGCCTAACGTCAACGGCTCTGTTTTTGATGTAGCTACATCATTTTTTGTTCTAGTGAACTGCACAACCAAGATAAGCTTGCAAGCTGACAATGATGGAGTAGTTGGGCCAATCTCTTGCCTAAGTGAACTAGGTTCTTTTGTTTATGCTATGAATGTATATGCCAGAATAGACATACTTCCTCCATGCATCATAATATATTCTGGTGAAATTCTTTCTGATTTTCTTGGTCAACCGATACAAGCTATAACGCAGAAGAGCTTGCAAGGACAAACGGCTTATTTGTATACGAAGTTAGATGAGAATATTAAGGACTGTTCTTTATGTCCAGATGAAGGGAAAAAATGTGGATATAATATCAGAATGGATAAAACATTTTGTTTTCCCGAAGATTCTCATGGTGAGTTTCTATCTATCTATGCTTCTTTCTGCATCTTTTCTTTTCTGTACTTTTTTGTAAAGAATTATTATTATAAACTTCTTATTTTTTTATCAGCAACCACAGATCCTATTTTTAGTTTAATGATAAAATTTTTAGAAATAAAAGAGCAATCATTTTCCCAAGACTTGTACTTCTGACAATAAGAAATCTCTTTCTCTCTCTATTCTCTTATTTTTTTTAATCTTCTTATTATTAGTGATATTTTGTATTGTCACGAACATATTTGACTTCAATAATTTTAAAAATTCCTGTAGCCACACCGAATAAATCATCAACAATTGCAATAGTTAATAGATCTTCTTAATAAATAAATATTTGGCATCCAAATAGAACCTCATCAAACTTCATATCAGGAATAGAAAATTGATTTTAGCTTAATAAAACTTTCAAGGAAAAGGTAATTAGCAATGAATTAGAGTTTGAAGACTACATGGAGAAATTTCAAATTCAATGAGATAGAGTTAGGAGGTTAGGTAGAGATGTTTTCAGCGAAAATGTTATATTCTGTTATAACAAAGAAAATGAAGTTTCAAGCATGTTTTATTACTATATCTTCAAATTTATAACTTTTATTAATTGTGGCTTAACAAACTAATTTTTTGTCCATATATGCTTTTCGCAGGTTCACATCTTATTGCTGAAGGTATGTGGAGCAATCTCACAATTTTTTTTTTACTTTTCCCCAGACTTTCGACCTGAATTTCTTCTAAAAGGGTTCATTGCATGAAATTTGGTAAAATTTATCGATAGTGGTGCTTATAAAAAGAAAAATTGCATTAATGAATGTTAAAATTTCCTTTCTTGCAGGCATTGCCATTGGTACATCTCTTGTGGTTTTTCTAATTGCAGTTGTTGTGGTTCTCTACTTTTTCAAAAAACATATCAAAGAAAAACAGAAGCGCATAAAGGTGGAAAAGTTCCTTGCAACCTACAAATCTACAACACTAACTCGATACAATTTCTCTAATATTAAGAAAATAACAAAGAAATTTAAGCATAAACTGGGCCAAGGAGGATTTGGAAGTGTCTACAAAGGTGAACTGACTAATGGAGTTCCTGTGGCAGTTAAATTGCTAGAAGCATCAAAATCCAATGGAGATGATTTTGTCAACGAAGTAGCCACTATAGGAAAAATTCACCATGTCAATGTAGTTCGACTCTTTGGATTTTGTTCAGATGGAACTAACAGAGCCCTAGTGTATGAGTTCATGCCAAATAATTCTTTAGAAAAGTTTATTTTCTTTGGGGAATCAAAGAAGAGACATGAATTTTTTAATATGGAGAAGTTGCATGAGATTGCAATTGGGATTGCCCAAGGAATCAATTATTTGCACCAAGGGTGCAATCAAAGAATTGTTCACTTTGACATCAAACCCCATAATATTTTGTTAGATTATGACTTCAATCCAAAAATTTCAGATTTTGGATTGGCCAAGCTATGCTCTAGAGATCAAAGCATTGTGACAATAAGTGCTGCAAGAGGCACAATGGGATACATAGCACCAGAGGTCTACTCTAGAAACTTTGGACTTGTCTCTCATAAATCTGATGTATATAGTTATGGAATGCTTCTATTAGAAATGATCGGAAGGAGAAAAAATATTGATCCTACAATTGAGAACATCACTGAAATTTATTTTCCAGAGGGGATATATAACAAGTTGGTCCATAGTAATAACTTGGGATTAGCTTTGGAAATTGAGGGAAATGAAGAAATTATGAAAAGGCTTGCCATAATAGCACTTTGGTGCATACAGTGGAATCCTGCAGAACGTCCATCAATGAGAAAAGTTATTCAAATGCTCACAACGATCTTTCAGAGCTTGGAGATGCCCCCAACACCATTTGTTCCTTCTTCTGATTAATCAGACAATGTTTATGTCTCAAGCAATCATGAAGAAAATTTGGAGGTCCACATCTCAAGCAATTATGAGGAAATTTTGAAGGATTGATTAATTAGTTTCAAATTTTGGTGTATTCAATCCATCTTTGTTGTTATTATAATTATTTGTTACTAAATGTGTTTTAAAACATTTTATTTTGATGAAGAAATTTATGTGGATTTCTCATGAATTTCTTATTGATTATATCAATCAAGTAATGCATGTCAATGATTCTATTTATTTATCTTTAAGATACTGAGTGATATAATCTGTTGGTTGCATGAGCTAATGAAGTGACATGCTTGCTTAAATGATAACAAATATATCTTAGGTTGTACAACATTTAAAGTAAGTTGTTGACAGATTTTTTTGGATGCAAGGATCTAATGCATTTTTCTTATTATTATGCAATGCATGAATTGCTTAAATTTAAAGACTTAGGGTTTGTTTGGAAAGGCCATAGAATTTTATAAAGGAAGTTGAAAATTTGTTGTGGGGGAATTAAAAGTTGTTATAAAAAGTAGATTCCTTTCATATAAATTTCTTCAAATTAACAAAAATATAGTAGGAAAGTAGCAACTTTCAATGAGTTCTAAAAAAATAAAGCGAAAAGAAAATTGTCACAAACAGACACTTAGCTTTATTTTGAAGAGCTATTCAATTGCATTTATGTAGGGGTATAAGTGAGCCAATCTAGTTCAAGCATGACTTGTTAACGAGCGAGTCGAGTTTATCGAGCTACGAATTCGAGTTTGAGTTTATACTTGAGTTCATAAATTAAACGAGCTCCTAAGCTGGTTGAGCTACTCAATTAACTTAAAATAAATTTAAAATTAATTGAAATTAGCATTATATAATATATTTTATCTTTTTTAAAATTAAATCCATATTTAAAAGAAAAAAAAAATTAAAAAACTAAAAATTTTAATTTTAAATTAAGAAATAAAGATCAACAATTCAGTCAAGCTTGAGCTTTCTAAACAAGCTTTCGCAATCGACCTAAGCTTGAGCTTAACAAGAACTAAAAAAGCTAATCCTCAACACAATTTGACTCATTCATGATAAGAAATGCAGTAAGTAAAAAAAATGGAGAAGGGCTCAAGAAATTAAAGACATATAATAGCCTTCAATTCTATAATTTTTTTATTTATGTGGATGTGTCACCAATAATCACCTAGATCGGGCATGAATCTCGATGCAAATATGAATTTGAAACTTTTAAATATATATTCAGGATCATTCAAATTCTAATTTAAGCAAGCTTATAGTCAAATTGAACATGTTAAGGAGACAAATCCAATGACACCAAGTTTGATCCAATCTTAGCCCAAATGGGTCCAAATCAAATTATATAAACCTATTTTGAAGCTTCAAAGCATTAATGGATGATCAAACGGTAATTAATTGTGACATGCGTAAAATCAAACTAAGTGGCGCGACGAGACAAATCTAACGAGCTCAGGATTGCTAAATTCTGACATTAATAATATAGTTAAATGCTCCAAATGATCTATGATCGAGAGAGTTGATATCGGTCATCCATAGAAATACTCCCAACTTGCCCTTGATATTCTCCCTTTTAACTAGCCATGCCACTCCTAAGAAAGTATAAATAGACTTATCATTCTTCACTAATGGGGAGAAAGGAGGAAAAGGGAGGAGAAAATGAAGGAGGAAGAAAAGAAGAGCTTTGGGGTTTGAAGGAAGAATATTGAAGCTTCACCGTGGCACCACCACTGAAGAATCTACGCTACCAAGTTTTCACTGCTAAACTTCTAGTCAACCATCATCATCGATCCTCCACCTAATAGCCACTAACAAGCCTTCCTCCAACCACTATCATTCATCGACTATTATTCCTCTGGCCATCATTGTATGCCAAGTATAGTCTTTTCGGCCACCATCGCATAACTATGGTCATTTTTGTTGCAACCCAGGAATCAAGATTAAGCTTGTTATTTTGATGATAATAAAACTTATGATTGTGCTGATAATTTTATTTTTTCTCCTAGTATATCTTGGATATTTTTATTTACTTATTTAAGTTTGTACTAACATTTCAGAAAAATTATAATCCAAATTGCTTAAAACTTCAACATAGAGTAGAATAGAGTTTCATGTAATAGAGTTTGTATATCTCTTTTTTATTTCTTGAGTCTGAGTGAATATGATTGTAATTAGGTAACCATGCACACACACACGGGGGGAGAGAGATAGTTAAAACTTACATTTTTAACACTAATCATATTGTACGATATTTAATCGTGTTGTAGAATTTGACTTAGTTTTCCTCCGAATATAGTCAATCAAATCATGGCTTGAATTATTTGACCTAGTCATATAATATGATGTCAGGTCATACAAATGACTGATAGAGTATGAAATTCCTTTTGTATCATATCGTACCAGATGAACTTGTTTAATTTTGAATAGTTTGTATATTATGATCTTAATTCATAAAGACCACTAACATAGTACGAAATTACTTTCATACCATATCGTACAAGATGAACTTATTCATTTTTGAACAGTTTGTATAGTACGATCTTAATTTGTATAGATGATTGATAGAGTACTAAATAAGGTTCGTACCAGATCATACTAAATGAAAGGCCTAATTTTTTAAACTATTTGCACCGTACGATATACAATCGTACTGTATGATTGTAGGATGGATCTATTGTAACTTTCAAATTTTAGACAATTTTTCATGGTTTTTCTGTAAATTAAGTCCTAAAAACTGACTGAGAAAATCCTTTGTTGTAAACTTCTTCTGAGAGTGACCATTGAGAGTGTGTTTGGGAGAACTTTTGTGAGTGAAGAGTGAGAGATCTAGTGAAGGGAAATTGTGAGAGATTCACAAGGTTGCCTAAGGTAAGGATTTTTTTTGTCTTCTTCTTCAAGTTTATGTGTGACTTCTTTGGAGGCTCTTGGGAGAAGATCATTCAAAATTAGATCAAGGTACTCTGCCTTCACCAGGAGGGTGAAGAAGGATGTGACAGTTTTCTGCCTTCACAAGAAAGGTAAAAAAAGGACGTAATAGTGGTGGAATTTTGAAAACAGGTTTAGGCTCTAAGGTCTTGGATCTAGAAGGATCCTAAGGTCTAGAGTGGATCCTAGGGTCTAGGATTAAATTTAGAATCTGGAAGGGTCTTAGTGACCTCATACAAAAATGAGGTCAACAAATAGTTCTCTGCCTTCACTAGAAGGGAAAAAATTGATGTGAGGCACATTGCCATCACTTGGAGAGTGTAAAAGGCATTGGTTCTCTGCCATAGTGGATTACTAGAAGAGAGTTTGTAAGGGCTTCTCCGTCTTGTTGTGGGGGCAAAAGGAGAGTCATTATTGTTTAGTGAAATACTTGGAGAAAGAGTCTCTAGGAGTGGATATAGGTCAGATTTTGACCGAACCACTATAAAATCTGGTGTTCTTCTTATGCTATTTATTTTTTCACATTTTTATTTCCTACATTTAAATCTTTGTAGTTTAAAGATTATATGATAATTATTTTTTCAAGCAACCGCATATTTGAGGATTATTGACTTAAATTTTTAAAAAGGTTTTTAAGAACCAAGAAAAAATTTAAATAACCAATTCAACCCCTCTTAGTTAGCCTTGGGACAATTATATTAGGTTTAACAACATATATGAACCTTCAAGTGGTATTAGAGCATATTTTCATAAGTAAAATTTAGACTACTTTTGGAAATCAAAATACTCCTGAAGGATACTTAATCACTAGACCACTTTTATTTAATAACATTCTATTTGATTTTTAGAAAACTTGCATGTCTACTTTTGTGCAATCACTTGACTATCACATGCTGATATTAGTATAAGAAGGTTATACAAGACCTATTAGACTTGTTGATGGAATTAGACCTAAAGCACCATTTACTGATTGGATATTAAAAGAAAAAGAATTAGCACAATTAAATGCAAAATGTTTGAACAGTTTCTTTTGTACTTTGAAGTAAGAGGGCTATATACGTGTTTCTTCTAGCAAAACTGGGAAAAAATCTAAAATAGATTTTGCATAACTAATGAAGGGATAAATGAGGTGAAAAAATTAGGTTGACTATTTTATTGCATGACTAAAAACTATTTTTCTTGAAACAAATGAGTTAATTTCTGATATGTATACATGGTTTACATAGATTATTACCTCATTGCATGCTTTAGGTAGAGAACTCACAAATTCTAAAAAGTTAATAAAATTTTATGTTGTTTACCTACTACTTATGATGGAAACATAATGGCCATGATTAAGTCTAAAGAATTAAATGTGTATTTTATTGATAATATTCTTGGATCACTGATTGCTTATAAGAGCATGACCACGTGTGACTGGCATGAGTACTTTACTTTCGTATATAACTACTTTGGATGTTTTATTTTAATTGCTTAGGATAACCCTACTGGAGAGTTTACATTTTTTTTTATGTAATGTATTTAAAGTAAAGAGTTGTGAAAATTTATAAAAATAAGGCATTTTAAATATAAGGTATCCAAAGAGAAAAGAAAATCCCTTGTAGTGTGTTTTCTATTTATTTGGATATCCTTATGGAGGATGAACTATAAGAATAATTAAGGAAGGCGATCCATCGAAGGACCAAAAAATGAAGATCAAGACAAAATACCTTGTTTTTAAGATTTGCATCATTCTATAGGATTATAATCTAGGTTGTTGTCGGTGGGGCCTGACCATCTTTACTTTTCTGCAGACCCTGGGTTGAATATTCTATGACACTTTCCATGGACTTTTGGACTCTTTTTTTTACTATGGTTGATATTTTTATTGATGTGTTTTATTAACTTGTGTAATAGAAATTGCCTATTTCTTAAAAGTTTCTTTCTTGCATGTGTATGCACCTGATTTCGCTAGACCTTTTAGGGATAAAACTTTTCTATTTGTAATTAAAATTTAAATTTTTAGGAATTAAATAACATAGAAAAATAATGATCTTGGGAATAAGTCGGAGGTCATCCGGTGTTGCATGCATCTTAATGTATCCTCTCTTTCCTTACTTAGACACTTCCTTGCCTGCAAGTAGAGTTCAGATAATCCAACCTATGAGGATGAAATGTTAAACTTGGTAAAGCCCAATCTTTTAAAATTTTATTTTATAAGTTTTTTTAAATTTCATGCATTCCT